GGAGACCGGGCAGGAGTGAAGATGACCCCAGTTACCTTCGAAACGGGGGGGGGGGGGAGAGGTGGGTTGCTGTGGTCAAAACCCGATTTTTTCTTCTGCTGCTGATGGTGTATTGTTCGCATCGCCAACCATTCTTCCCCGCGGGCTCCCCTCTGCCTGTATACCCTCTGTCCTGCCCCTGAAGCCTTCAGGGTGCCCTTGTATTGTTTTGCATCCAAGTAGCAGGGTAGTTTGGAGATCTAGGAGTCTTCCCTCCCTTGCTAAGGCAACCCTAGCCACTTACTCAGAAGTAAGGCTCAGCTGTTGAGTGGGCCCCAGGTAAGAGGGAATTGGAGCCTAGGGAATCAAAGGATGAAGGCAGTGGAATTAAAGAACAGGATGGACGGAAGATTTGGGAACTGCGGACCAGATGTTGCTGGTTGGTTTGGCAAATGCACTGAATGAAGTGCTGAAGAATGATATGAATTCAGGGATTGATAGAAGAAAATCCAAGGTGCTTTTCAAAAGACAACAAAAAGATTTTTTCCCCTTTGTTTGCTTTTGTTTGTTATAGATCGATCTAGTGCCTTGGAAGTAGAGAAAAAGTTAATAAAGACAGCTTTCCAGCCAGTTCAGAGGCGGTAAGAGATTATCTATGTCCTAGACGAGCAGATGTATGAAAAGGGAAACCGAAGGGGGGGGTGTGTGTGTGCACATTCACTTAGAAATCAGTTTTATTTAGAATTGAATTGGGTTGGTGGCCATCCACCCATAGCTTCACCAAAGTAAATATCAGTGAAGCCATTCGAGTTTACTTCCAAGCAAACTTACAAGGGTTGAATCAGTATCATATTAGGGGTGAAGAAATAATTGAATAGGGACACTTCTCCCCTCCTGCCCCCCTCACACAAGTTCGGTACTAGCATACTTTAGTCTGTGTTTTGTGGCTTCAAGTATAATTACTATATCATTTTGATGTCTAGAGTTATTAAAACTTCTGCTCAGAGGTGTTTTAGATATGCAGTTGGCTCTCTGTGTGTATGTGTGTGTAAAATGGGTTCTATTTTTGCTGTTGTTGGAATAAACTACAAGATGAAGCTCTCAGTTGCCTCCGATTCATAAAGCAGCTCAGAATGGACTCTATTTAAAAATGGGTTTAATAGGTGAAGATTTGACACTAGTTATAAAACATGTGTGTTGAAAGAAAGAAGGTATCAGTCTATACTATGATTAATCACTTAAACCATAAATGTAAATTAGCACGAATAACAAAACCAAAATCTAAGTCTAAACACAAAACGTTTTGGTGCCGGCCCTCTTTCAATGCTCTAAAATATTTATTTATTCTTACCTCTGTGCATATGTATATTGATCCAATGGAACAGAGAATTAAGCATGTTTCAGCCCACTCAAATCAGGAAACTGAGCTGGGAGGTATTTTTATGGGTCTCTTGGAAACAGGAGGGAGCTATGCGTGTGGCGTAGGAATGGGTGTACCCACACAGCACAGAGCAAGGAAAAAGGGTTAGGCCAACCGCTGCTGAAAATGGTGTGGTGTTCTGAATTTTCATAATTCAAATAATTTTAACACGAAGGGTCTTGTGCAGAACGCACCTGTAAAAGTAAAGAAGTCCTACTGATCTGGCACTGCCGAATTAATTCAGAGCATTCCAACACCGATTGGCCTGTGGTTTTATTTTATGGCTGCAGGGCCAAGGGAGATCTAACTCTCCCCCTCTCAAATGCTAATTCCACCATCATTTTAAAGTCAATAAAACTCTGCATATCCCAGGAATCCTTGATTAGCATTTTGCAGATTAGTTCAGACTCAGATGATGAGATATATTGCTATTTAATGTACGCGCACCCAAATATGTATTTTCTGTATCCCTTCTCTTCTAGGCCTGAGAACCAACTCGATGCAGCTATGGTTCTATCTGCGTTGTCGTCATCATAGTCCTTTTTTTTTTTAATTATTGTTCTAAATGATTGTAAAATAAAATTCTCTGTATAGTTACAGCTTGTACGCATGTTTGTGTATTAAATGAAAAAAAAAAGTGTGGGGGGAGAAATCCACTTCTGTGCTATCATCTGGATTAGCCAAATTCGTGAAGTATTTTGGAAGTCTGGTGAGAAATAGGCGTTCATTTTCCTTTGTATATAGGGTAAAACACACACACACACACACAAATGTACATACGTGTGAACCAAACTGTACAAGAAAGTATATATTTTTGGCTAATAAACTGTTGCCACTTTGACTACAATTTTTCCGAGACCCGCTGGAACTCTATTATTTATTCTGATGGAAGGAAAAGTCCTTTCCCTTGGAGGATCCAAGTCTTGCTCTTCTAAGAAAATATCCATCAAG